AAAGACGCCCGTGAGGCTATTCGGGGTGGTTAGTCCGTCCCTGGTTGGCGGTGGCCCTGCTCCCCTGTTTTGGGAACGTTATGAGACGATGCCAAGTGCCGCACAAGGTTGTAGGGGCCTGTGCTGGTGGAGCCGTGAAGATGGTCTGAACTACAGATGACAGGTCCGCGGCGTTAGAGAAACGTCCACCGGACATCATCAGTCAGATCATATCACGGTCCGATCGCCAGGCATTCCACTTGAACGCCACACAAGTGACCCAGAAATAACTTCATGGCATCGAAGAATCGGCTTGTTTCCTTGTGTCTCTGTTCCAGGTCACCGCAGTGGACCCTCCGCATTGCGAAGAAGCCTTCTCGATGTTATCATCACGGCCCCCAAATCCCGCGGGAATGTATCCCAAAGCACAGCTCTCCACCGTCTTCGTCGTGGCAGGCGGATCCAATGGGGCCACAACGAGCCCGGAGCATCGTGGTGCCGTGCGCAGAGAGATCTCGTAGGGGGCCATAACAGTCGGAAATCGGACGTTGGTAGGCGGTGTCTATGACAGCTACGCTAAACTGAGCATTGTGATTGGGGAGGGCGCGCTCTGGGGCTCGTCCGAATATTCTCTTCTTCCTCTTCAACTTTGGCCCCCCAGGTTTCACGGCTGTGGTTGTTTCAAAGTGGTGACGTGGGCTCGAAAGGCACAGGAGCACGAAGGAAGAGCTGAAGACATGGTGAGAAACAGGGGTGAAGAGAAGAAGACTGGAGGGCAGGGGTCGTAAAAGGGATGAGGCTCCCACTTCCCGAACCTTTTTTGCTTTAAACTTCTTTGGCACTTCTTCTTGGTGTTTACATAAGCGCATTTCATTGGTTGGCAAGATCTACGTTGACGGGGGAGGTGTTCGTCCAGTTTCAGGGGCTCAAACTGCCACTTTGCGCCATTGCTTCAGACGAGACGATGGCATCTTGGCTGCCTTCAACGGTGTCACGGTCAATATGGGAGAGAAGAGCGGCCACTCGGCCATGTGGAAGCAAGCCCATAGGCTCGCGCGTCTTTTGCTCGTCTTCTCGAATGCTTATTGAACGGCCCAGGTTAAGCTTAGAATTATCCTTGAATAACCTAATGCAACAGGCTGCTCCAGGAATACACCTCCATCATCCAATGATCGCGAACTCCTCCTCGCCGTCACGGTGTTTCTGCCCCCTTTCTGGCGATCACGCTCGCGTGTCACACCGCCAAGGAGCCTCCCGAACCTCAACTGCCGCAGGGAACTTCCCGTCAAGCAACCCAAGAAATCTCTTCTTCCGTCAAACCCCAGCAAGCGCTCGGATTGTCGTGTGTGTGCCTGTCTCTCCAATCTCCATGTTTTATGCTCCGCTGCTTATTGCGGCTTGGCTTTGCAACGGCAGTGAATCCAGCTTTGCTTATGAAGCCTACCATTGAACAGCTTCGACCTGATACCAGGGAAGGGTATGGGGTAATTAAATATCTAAATCTTGACATGCTCCTAGTCTCCGAATCCCGCTTAAAGCATACCCTCCAACGCCTTCTCGATGGTGGCGAAGCCCTTATTGAACTCTGCCTGAACCGACTTGAGGTTCTTAATGTTCTCGGGGAACACACTGTCCCTCCACCACTCAAGCCACGCAGCAATCTCTTCGAAGCTGGCCTCCTCCAGCCCGAGCCACTCACTCAACTTGTCGTGCCACAAAGGAAGTACCTCAGCGACAATCACCTCGCCCAGCACCTTTGGCGTCAGGATGTCAGACCACTTGAGCACGCCCTCGAGCATGGGCAGGTAGGGCTCCTGGTCGCTAGGGTCGATCCTGAAGTTCTTGCGTAGGTACCGTCCCATCGCCGGCAGCACATGGCCCATGATGAGCGGCCGCCATTGGTCGCCGAGGACCTCGCGCCATTTTTCCAGGCCCGGGATCACGCCGCGATCAAACTCCCACACGTCAATGAGCTGCCTGTACTTTCTCCGAACCTCCGCGACCAGCCCGGTGCCCTTGGGGTCCAGGTGGTACGAGGGGAGGTACTGGAGCCAGGGGAACAGCCAGAGGTGCGGGAGCTTGTGGCTCTGTCGCTTCTTCCTCGGGTTCCATTCCGCCACGGCTGTTTCCAGTTTGCGGACGACGCCGTCGAGGAACTGGGCGCGCACAAAGGGGGGCAGCAGGTCGTTCCATGCCTCTAGGACGGCCAGTAGAGGTGTCGGGTTGAAGACGTCCCAGTCGCGGATGGCTGACATGACTCTCGTGTACCACAGCTTGTACATCATGCTCTCGTACGGCGTCGTCGCCTTTTGGTGTTGGCGGTAGAGGTCAGTGTTGCTCAGACCCGTCGAGTCCCATTTGTCCACGCTCTTGTCGCCCTCGCCCGACTTTTTGAGTAGCGATTCCAGGCCCTTTAGCTCTGTAGCAAACCGCGTGGGCTCCTCGAGCAAGTCCCAATCGGGGTCGCGGAGGAAGGGATGTATGGCGGCCACGGCGAGATCTGCAATCTCTCCTGTCGTCGACCCAATTTGCTCAACTGCCTTGTTGAGGCACCGGATGACATCCGACCATTCCGTGGCTGCTGGAAGTTCGTTGGTAACAATGTTTGAGAATAGCTGAAGCCTGCCCAAGTCTGAAGCGAGGTCGGCCATTTCCTGTTCCCGCTCCCGCAGTTCCAAGTCCACCCATGTTTTTCGTTCTTCAAGGTTCCTCCATTCTTCGGAAAAGGCCGCTAGGTCTGCGTGTGCCCGCTTGACCAGCTTCCGTGCTGCCGCCACCTCGGGAGATTCCACCACAGCCGCAGACGTCGGCGTCAAGAGTCCAGATGACGTGGTAAGCAGTTTGTTGCCAGGTCCCGTCATGTCCAATATGGGCGCAAAGGCCTCAGGGATATGCAGTCCTGGGGCGGATTTCCTGAGCTCCTCGGCTGTCATGTACTTTGGCTTCTGCCGCTTCGGCGTGCTGGCACTGCTGTCGCCTGCACCTGCAACCTTCTTCTTCCTCTCCCGCTTCCTCTTCTTTTCCTCCTCGTCCGAGTCGATGACGGTCTCTCCACGAAGCTTCGCTTGCCGCTTCTCCTCCTTGCGTTCGTGTTCTGATTTTTCCTTGACTGCACCCAGACCAACACCCTGCGGTCGGAGGTGCGCCTCGATAATAACGCTGCGACCTTTGCCGTCCGCTCCGAGACCTTCGCCCTCCTTGTAACCCATCTTGGCCATCATCCTGGCGCCAAAGGACTTGGGATTCGGTTTGCCCTTGGCCCCGTTCGCGCCGAAAGCGCTTGGCCGAGCCATCTTGGGCATCGAGGGTGTATCGGCGACGTCGGGGTTCAAGGCTGGTACGTTTGCAGATGATGGCACAAAGCCTCTGCCGAGTGGGTTCTTGCCGTCGAATTTCGTTTTTGCAAAGGAACGTGCCGGTGCTGTATCCTCGTCGTCGCTGTCTTTTTTCGAGGCAGACATGAAGCCCAAGCCTCGCTGTGCTCCACCGAATCCGAGGCCAACACCTCCAGTTCCCTCATCGTCATCATCCTCGTTGTCGTCTTCGTCATCGTCGGAGTACTCCTTGGCATTCGCATCGTTCGCGTCGTCGTCGCCTTCGTCGAGTGTTGTCGCGCCTGTCGAGACAAAGCTCATGCCCTTATCCCTCAGGCTCTTCTTCTTCCATCTCCGACCAGGTCCATCGTCTTCGCTGTCTGACGCGAAGATGCCTAGCGCAGCGCGCTCTTTCGTATTGCCAACGCGCCGGCGCTTGCGCGGGTTGAGGTCGCTGAAGTCATCTTGCGACGGATCGGCGACCGGCGCGAGGAAGTCATCGTCGTCCTCTTCTGATTCGGACGAGTAGTGCGCAGCGGCCTTCCTCGTCAAGCGGGAGGGGTCGAATGTTGGAAAACTGGCCATGCTGTGTAGATGCGCAGGCGGCGGCGCGAAGTCGAGGAGGCCAATTGTTTGGATTCAAGCCAGGGTACTTTTTTGGAAGTGCATCATTCAAAGGCACCGACATTGGAGCTACTACTTGGTGGGTCTTCTTATCTAATCTCCACGTGACGTGTAAGGAACGTATCTTTCCGCGACTACCCTGATAGTTCAACTCAACAAGCAACTGGTGATGATGACCTGAGATTTCATCACTCCAAGACCTTCTCCTCAATCGAAGAAATATTGAGGACTCTCCATCCTGTCAAACATGCCCAGATTTTCCTTCTTAGACTTGTGAGCCATTGTCCTAGGTCACCGACAATGACTCTGAGAAGCACTAAGAAGCCAAAGACCATCAGAGCTTGCCAGTCGGCATCTACTCTGTCGAAGCCCGCGATCATCATAACGTTCCAGGCGAGCAGCGAAAGCGGGACGGTATGGTTGAAACTGAAAATTGTCAGCGATGCCCTTGGCCGTGTCTCATGTCGACGTACTCTCTCAAAGCTTGGTTGACTCGATTGGCAAAGCGCTGGTCCTCATCGTGACTTTCGAGTGCTTCTGGGCCCAGACTCTTGTTTTGCGCTGACTCGGCCATTTCATACTGGGTAATGAGAAGAAAAGCGGCTCTCGTAGGAAAAGAGCTCTTGTATATTTGATGCTAGGCTTGTGGATATTGTTTCAATGAATATTTGGGCGAGTACGTCGAAGATCAAAGCTTGAATGTCACTTGCCGTATCAGATTCAGCGCCACAGACGCCATGATGTGTGGAAACTGGGGGACCTTGCCGGTTGCCACAAACCGCGGAGGATTGTGCCTCGGTACGTAATAGTGATACATATCATGACGAGACTACGATTGATGAATCCGAATGCCGGGGCAGGTCCGCTCAGGTTTGCTCATGGAAATCTTACCTAAGGTGTTCCGATGAATGTGTCGGGCATTATTTTGATCACAATGCTTTACAGAAAACAATACTGGATTACAATTCAAAGAGCACTTTGTTCTGAGCTCAAATATCATCCTTTAAGCGCGCTAATTTGCCAACACAATAAACTTGCAGTATGTACAACATTCTCATGCCCGTCGCACATCGCAAGATTCATCTAGACCCCCCTGATTCCAGCTTCCAAACTCTCCTTGTACCCAGTCCACCCCCGTCCGTAATAATCCTTCAACAGCTGCTCCGCCTTCTTCGCCGGCACGACCTCCGTCAGATCGTGCCCCTCGTTCTCGTCCGGCTCCGGGATGTTCTCATTATCCGGTCTCAGTTCACGCAGCGTCTTGAAGACGTCGGACCTGTTCACCTCCTCCGCGAAGCCGAATATCCTCTGCGACTCGATGTCGTCGCCGAGGAGCGCGATGGCATGAAGGCGAGCCGTGTCGACGACGTCGACGAAGTACTGCGGGACATACAGCGAAAAGGCCTCGTGGTCGCCCTTCAAGATGTCGCGGACCCAGCCCATTGTCGAGCCGTAGATCTCGGGGTGGAGGATCTCGCCCCACTGGAGTTTGTCAGTGTGCGGGCTTCATTGAGACCAGGGGGGTGGGGGGTTCTTACATTGCAGTTGGGCAGGACAGTGCTGAAGACGTAGCCGGGCTTATTCTTCTCTACCCACTTCCACGCCGCCCGCTCGCCCTCGGTCTTGGAGGCGGCGTAGATATAAAATGGCTTGCTGAGATTGGGGTCCCAGGCTGACTTGACGGCAGAGTCGTTCCAAGTGTCTACGGCATGTTAGCATAGCGGACATTGGTAGGTGTGTCTTGTAACGACGTACTCTCATCGACGCGGACACCAGCCTTGTTAGTCTCCGGGATGATCACTGCCGAGGAAGACGAGGTGAGGACGACGCGCTTGATAGCGGGGAACTTGGCTGCGGCTGCGAGAACGGTCTCGGTGGCCCTGACGACCCAGGGGATGACTGCGTTGGGGTCTTTGCTGAAGCTCACATCAGATGCCTTGGTTACTTGTCAGACTTGTCTACGTAGCTGAAGACCTGTCTAGACTTACGACATGAGCAACGGCGGAGACGCCGTCGAAAGCCTTGGCGAGGGCCTCCTCATCCTCGAAGTTGGAGAGGGTGATGGACTCGTACTTGTCCTTGCCGTATTTGCTCTGGAAGAGCTCGTCGAGCCACGGCTTGGGGGAGCGAACGGTGCCGCGGACGCGGTAGCCCTGTTCGAGGATGGTGTTGGCGATGTGAGAGCCGATGTAGCCGTTGGCACCAGTGACGAGCACCGTAGAGCCTTGCGGGAGAGCGTTGAGCTTGGCCATTGTGATTGAAGTTAAGGTTGAGACAACTTGATGCCAGCAAGGTTGAAGGTAGCTGGTATCAAGTATGTAAATGCTGGATTTGTTGGTGTGATGATAACATGGTATTCAAAGACAGCTACTAACGCAGGACGAAGTCAACTATTTATCTGTTTCAACCCATGGCTCCAAGCCGAACCCAAAACTCAATGGAGCAGGCCGAACGGACGGTCGATGAACCGCACATCAGACTGGCAGAGCAGCCTGGTGCCCACGGCGGAGCTTTGAAATCAATCCAACGCGCCGAAATGGGGTCAAAAGAATGGGCGAGAGGTTTCATTTAGCCCGACTGGATTACAAACAATAGCTTTCCTGTGTAGACGGCGCTTCTGAAAGGGGGGAAAGAAATCCATATGCCGGCTATGACGTATTGGGGCATGACACCAGGCCGTCCGAAGTTGGCGCGATCTCCTGAACAAGCACATCTCTTCGCGAGGAGGTTGAAATGTGCCGTTGCCATGGTTTGCTTACTGCATAGAGTGTGCGTTTCGATTTTACGACTATCTTCTTCAAAGAATAATTGGCCACAGGTGGGCTTGTGTTACCTTGGACTATCATGCACCGTGGAAGTCCATGGCAAATGCGAGCTGACAAATGGGATGTCGCTTGTATTGATTTTAGGAGTTAGGCCAAACCCCGAGTGAGGTCGAGGATGCCGGAACTCCATATATATTCGAGGGCCGAACGTCTCTGAACTTCTGTATTCCCCACTAACAAAACCCGAGACAACTCATGTCGTAGCTATGCCATGAGTTGGGTGAGAGCTCAGGTCGGATTACATGCGAGGGTAACTTGCAGAGCAATCTTACACCTACCCACGTCAAAGGACGTGGTCGGGTAAATAGGCCAAGACCCAAGGTATTGTGATATTGCTGCATGTTCGGGCAGTGCTATGCTTCCGAGTATCGACAAATTACCTTTCTAGTATCCTGATCGTCGAACTTTACGCATATCTGCATCTCGTTACGACGGCGAGCTTATCTGCAGCAAAGCAGGCTGAGGCGCCGTGGGCCAGTGGTCATGACGGAAGAAGCACATCGATCGAGATGTCAAAAAATCGCACTCTTCACAACTTGCGGCCGCGCCTCAGTGAATTTGAACAGCAGAGGCCTATCCTGATTCTCCCAAAACGCGAGGTGGTGAATGTCGCTTTTATGGCCTCCGCGAGCGCTTGCACGTTATTTTTAGAGGCGGGCGGACAGCCAGGGTATGGCGGACCACGGGTCGCTTGGGCCACCACCCGTCGGAGGAAATATTAGGCGGGTGACGTGCGGCATGGGGGGGAAACTTTGTTTGGGGGAGGCCACGGGGGGAAGATCTGACTTGAACGGTCCAGGCCAGGCGCTGGATCGCTGGATCGGGGGGTAGGTAGCCGACCAGCCGTCTCCAAGCTGGCTTGTGACCAGACAACGTGGGAGTGGGAGGTGTGTTCTGCAGGGAGGTTGAGCAACGTGGCAAGCCGGGGGCTGCAGAAGAGACGACGGCCGGCAGACTGCTGATTTGGTCCTGATGTGGGATGAGAGGCGTGACGGTGGACGACGGGACGAGCAGCGCAGTGGGAAGACGCGGTTGGCTGTCTCTGTTTTCCTACGTGTTCAAGGTGTTGTGCATGTCGAGGGGGAAGTCAAAATGGGGAAATGGCTCACATGCCAGCGGCAGCAAGGCAGCATGGCTTGTGAACACATGATGATGGCGGGTTGGAATGATGGAGGACTCGGACAGGGGGATAAGATTCAGGGAGAGACATGAGATGAACAAGCAGCCCCTGAGATGGTGCCGGGGGAGGGTGGTACAGCTCGGAATAAGAAACGCTGACGGATTCTTAATTCTCTTTGATGTCCCTTTTCCCCAAGGGTCGTGTGCAGGCTTGATTGAGGATGCAGGCAGACGACGTTGGTGATGGGGGCGACATTATGTCGTTGTGTTAGTGAGTTTGTACCATGACCCGAATGCTGCACAACAGCAATGGTGTTTTGTTGGGAAAGGTACTTGCGGGAGCATCGGTCTGGCAGCATTAGCGGGAAGTGGCCCAAAACACCATAGAAGATGCCTGGGTACCCAAGTAAGATACAATGTAGAGAGAGTTGAACACAGTACTATGTAAGAACAATTGCCGTTAGAGGGGCCCTATCCTCGTCTGGACTCGCTCAACAAAACCCTTGCTCAACAGACGCACACAACGAGGATGGGACTGGACTGGAGCAGGCAGATGGCGAAAATGGGCATCCAGGCCAGGGCACCAATTGAGTTGCAAGTGGACGTGGATCTCGGGCGCCCACTTGTCCCAGTTTTTTCCCTCGGGCACCTCAGTCTGGAGGGGTCAGCAGTGGGAGAAGGAGGGCAAGGAGGGGCACTTTGAAAATCTCGACCGTGGCCATGGATGGGAAATGGGACTGGACGGCATTGGACAGATTTGCAGCCGAGGGCATTCACATGGATTTTGGGGGGACTCTTAGTCTGTGAGGCCCTCATCCACCAGAACGGGTCGAGGACGCAGTTGAATGTGACAGAAGCAGAAGAAGACGCAGAGAAGACAGCGTCCAAAACAAGGCAGTCAGGTCAGACCTAGAGCAGGCCGAAGCAGCCGTCTGGTCTCACCATTGCCTTTGTTATATTTCTTTTGTTGTCTGCGATCGGGGCTTCTCTCTCGACCTTATCTGAGTCCTCGACGATTAGCCAGGTGCAGGTGCTGGTGCTTTGCGTGTGCTTACCTCAGCTGTGGATGTATCTACACACGCAAAAGTGGCTTGGGAGTACTTGTGGCCGCTATCGCGTTCTCGCTTAAGGGCTACAGCGGCCTGACAAGAGGGAGGCTAGAAGGCGGCGGGAAGCAACCCAACCACACCACCACACCATTCTTCCACGGGCGGTGCACCAACCCAATCTGCACCCGATGGATGCCCCTCACTCAGGTCCTTAAGGTACGGTACGGTACCTAAGGTAAATCAAGGTCCAGTGCTGCACATGCCGTCGGGAAAACTGACGGGAGGAGGAAAGGTAAGGTACTTTGCGCACTGAACGCTCCAAGGCCTAGGTCTCGTCCCTCCTTCAAAGCGACAGCGCTGGACTCGCCTGACCCAGCGACTCGAACCCCTAAGAGCAGCACATCGGACATCAGCAAATGGTGGAAGGGCCTTCTTACCTTACCTAAGAAGGTACCTAAGGTAAGCCTTAAGGTACCTCCCTCAAATCCGCCGCTGCGCAAGTTCAGGTCAATCTGGACCTCGACGACATCGGGTTCCCACTTAACCCTAGGTACCCAGCCTGGTACCTACCTTACCTACGGATACGGCGATTTCCCAATCCACCTCTTCCTCCCGAACACCACCACCACCTCTACCTCTTCCACGCACCCGACGACGACCACGACGACGACAACGTCGACAACAACGACCGCAATCGCAGCACGAAACGGTCGCCTCCAACCTCAAGAGCGACGACGGCTCCGGCATCAGCCCGTCCTCTCCATATCACTCTCTCCTTTATCGAACTCCGTGGTCCGCCGCCGCCCGCTGTACAACACCCGACTGGACTGGACGCCTTTTCCACTTTTGTACGTGCGAACCCTTGTCCCGTCCCGTCTTCTGCCTCTCCCCGACCACTCGCTGCCTCTCTGCTTCGCCTCGCTCGCTCGCTCGCTGCCCTGCTTGCTTCCTGCTGCAGCTGCGAAGAGGCAGTGTGCGCGCGTACTCTCTCTCGCTTCCTCCGTCTGTCTCTCTCTCCTGCACTCGCACTATCGTGGGCGACACCTTGGACGAGCATCACCATCTTCCCCATCATCATCTCCCCGGAAAAAAAAAAGACGACTGCACCCAGCTGTGGCTGCTGTGCCGCCGTACTGTTGCTGCTCTGTGCTGCACCCTCAATTTTCCCGCACCTTTTCTTCCCCCTCCATTATCAATCAATCAGCTCCTCTTTTTCCGACCCCGATGCGCCGGCCCCTCCACTCCGCCGGCGACATCACAATTCACCACCTCAGTTCCTCACCTCAGCCCTCGTCCTTGCTGCATCCGGCTGACACCACACCTTCCGCTTGACCACGTCGCTAATCTCGCTGCCGCCCTCAGCTTACCAGTTATTCCAAGCGACCGATATACCCTGACGAGCTTCGCATGCATTGAAAGACTGGCATAGACTGCATCTGTCCCTCCTTCGATTCGAGTCACCCCTTCAACGACCCACCTACGAACCAGCCTTTGCCTGCCCGGACAGTCGACCGACTTTCGTATGCACAACCGCCGCATTGCCCGCCACCTAACTCTGCTTCCGCTCCGTGTCCATCGTCGCCGCGATCCCTCCGGCGCCGTGACATAGACCGTCTACAAAATCCGCCAAAATGTTCTGGCGATTTGGCGGCTACGCCAACATCTCCACCATCGATACCATCCTCGAGAAGCCCGACTTCACCGTCGAAGACCTGCTCGACGAGAGCGATCTCATCCAGGAGCTTAAGCAGCACAACACAAAGCTTATCGAATACCTCCGAGAGGACAACGTCCTCAAGACCCTGCTCGAATATGTCGTTGCCCCGAAACTAGAGCCCGTCGCCACCCCGGCCGACACCGAAGAACCCAAAGAAGCCCCCGCCGATGAGTCCAAAGGCAAGGGCCGCCTGCTCCCCTTCTCAAGACCCCGCGCCTCCTCGCGCGCCACAGACACCGACAATGAAGAAGAGGAGCAAGAGAAGAAGCGCAATCGCTATGCCTACGTCGCTGCCGAGGTGCTTTCCTCCGACACCTGGTCCATCTACGAGGCCTTGATGGAAAACCAGCCCTTGATTCGCGAGTTCTGGCAATTCTTGAAGCGCCCTACCCCGCTGGACCCTCTCCAGGCCAGCTATTTCACAAAGGTCAACGAGGCCCTGTTCGACAAGAAGACGGAAGAAATGGTCATTTTGCTCAAGTCCCTTCCGGATGCCGTGCCAGATCTGCTGCGCCACGTCGAATGCCCCATGATTATGGACC